TGATGCACCCTCTGGGTTTCCCACACAGGTGTTGGAACGCATGATGGAGCCAGTGTCAGTGTGGCTATGCAAGATGCAAAGCTGCAGGGGAAACACAGCACTAGACAGTGACTTTGTTTTCCACATGGGACACACAGATACTAGTTTATTAAACTTCCTTTAGTTAATGAGGGTCTAACAGAGAAAGGTTTTCTAGAAGGCTGAGTCTGAGAGGGGTGCAACATGGCACAGACTTGGTTTTCAGCCTCACTCTTCTGCCTGTCTTCCACATGCCCTTGGGGTATCCTCTGACCCTTTTTGTCACCCATAAATGGAAACCAAACAGGTCTATCATGGGCTGCCACGAAGATGAAATTTAAATGATGCAAGTAAAACAGCTGCTAATGTTCTGGGCATGTGGAAGGCCTCCAGCCACCATTCCTGGGTGCTTACAGATGGTCACATAAATTAGTTACCTCACAACAACCAAATGAGTATGTGTATCTTTTTCCTCCTACTGACTTTACACACTCAGCTACATCCTCTGCCCAGCCCTTTTTATTTTTAATTTTTATTTTGACACCAGCAACTAAGTCACTAAGTTGCCCAGGGTCGAATTTGCAATCCTCCCTTCTCAGCTTCCCAGGGTCCAGTGGGTATATATGTATCTCTTCCCCACTGGGGTCAACCAAGATCGGCAGGATACAAGTAAAACGCCAGACTTAAGCCACCAATACAAAGCTGTCAGCTGCAGAAGCAGAACTCTGACCTACCATGCAGTTTATAGCTTCTCAGGAAGCACTAGCTACTGTTCTAGATTTCAGTAAAAGAGCCTACGTCAAATGTCACTCATGAAAACTGGTCACAAACCAGCCCTGGGACAAGAGCACTCCTGACCATCCAGACATTTCCACCAGGAAGCATCCCTCCCTCTCTGGGACTCTGGGAAGCCTATCCTGTTCCATCTTTTCCTGCTTCAAGCACTCAAGGGATATGACCTCCCTGCAGTGGGAGCAGAGGCCTTGATGTCACAGTTCCAGCACCTACAGGTGTCTCCAGGAGAGGAAAGTTGTGATGTGGCAGTATCTGCTGGGAAGTGCCATCTCCAGTCTTACTGAATCAAAGCCATCAGGTGGCCGTGCCATGTCACTCTGCCTTGGAGGCAGAAGATCACGGACTGAAACCTCCACAAACTGTGCGCTAAATAAATCTTTCTTTCCTTAATTTTGGGTGTTAGCTATTTTTCAGCAATGAAAGAAAAGTAAGTAAGACAGAGACAAAGGCCTGATTATGGGAGCAAATGAGACTCCAGAGGTCCCCAGGTATAGTTCAGTGAGGTGAATTCTATGTATTCACCAAGGCTGGGTCCAAATCCTAGCTTCTCTGTGTGGTCCTTCCTGAGGCTCCATGCCATGCACTGTCCCTCTGCCTTCATTCCAGTCGCTCCTCTGCCACCATCCTGCACAGACCAGCATCCTCTGGATTTAGCTGTCCTCCACCACCAGAGGCAGGCTCAAATCATAGCTGTTAGTGTCATTATTTCACCATTCTGGTGTATGCTGAAGACACTACCCATGTCTTGGGCAGTGCTTCTCAACTCTGAACTGCATGAGAGCTCTTTAAAATGAAACCACCTAGAATATACCACCGACCTACAAACCAGAGTCTCCACTAGACAGAGAAGACAGTGGGAACTTGGCAGCTTTCTTTTTTAACAAGCCATCCAACCCTACCGCAAGAGGCTCTCAGAGGTGCTCACCAAACTTGGAAACATCTATTATACATGATATCCGATTCCCAAATTCTTTTCCTTGGAAACTTGAGGTTCCAAAGAGATACCTCTAGACTCAAATCAATTGGACTGGAAGCTTACCCATGTCTGAGGATAAGCCCCAGGTTCTGAGGTTGCTGGGACTATAATGTGGACGTCAGGAATTCTGAAACATGAGCAGAGAAGTCTAACAGTCAGGTAAGGCTGAAAACCACTGCTCATTTGGGTATAGATTCCAGCTGTTTATACTGATGCTCTAAGGCTGCTACCACAACAGTTTAGCTTCCATCCATGTCACCAGCCCAGGTTCCACCTAAGGCTGATTGCCAAGATGGATTCTCATGCTTAATAAAAAATTATGTACACGTACCAACTCCCCACAACAAAGGCAACCATTACGTACTGCAAACATGTACTAATAGAAACATCTTTAAAAGTGTGTGAACAAATGCTCCAGGCTACCAGAACAGCCTAATTTTCACTTACCTTTGTGTCTTTCCCTGAGCCTTACAGCATCATAGATGCCTAATAAATGTTTGCTGGAAGGCCCGATCATTTGACTTGTTATCTGACTCCAATTAAGTTTTCCATTGCCTGGCATAGCAATCTAACAGTTTCTTAAACATCTAAATGCCAACAACCCTTGCCTCAAACCTCAAACCTAAAACAAAGTGGAGCAGACAGCCATCCAGGGAACATGCTGCCGTTTCTCTTTCCAGTCAAATACACTAAGCAAGCGCCTAATGACTGATAAATATAAGCAAACGCGATTTTCATCAGCCCGGAAGTGCATGACATCCGTCGGCAGCTTGGGCCTCCCAGGCTAATATTTGGATCATTTCATCTGAAACTGTCAAGTTATAAGAGCATGATAAAGACTTACAGGAACTCATAGTAAACACGAACTGGCCCCTCGTCAGTAAGTCAGGAGAAAAAAAATGTCCTCCTGCCAAAACGCACCAGCCGGAATGCGTGCAGCGCTGGGCTGCGGCCAACCAGAGCCTGCTCTGGGCAGCTCTCCACGGCTTCAACCACAGAGGCTGCAGAGAACCCCCTCCTTTTTCACCGGGGCCTCCAACCCATCCCTCTTCCCCTACCTCCAATGGGCGCCCAGCAGGAGGCTGAATACTGCAGGGAGCTGGGCATAGGCAGCTGCCTTCACAGCTCAGCATGTCCATAGCTTTAGAGTTCTGGAAGTCACTCATTCACCTAGGTCCCTTAATTCTTCCTGACAAAGTCTACATCATAGCTCTGCAGTGCCACGGCTGCTTGGGTTTGAGGCCTCACTGAACACAAACTAGCTGTGTGACTTCATGCCCTGGGCCTCTGTGTCCTCACTGGTAAACTGAGGATAATACCAACATCCATTTCCTAGAATTGTCAGCATAAAGTGACAAGGGCGGCACTCACTATGGAACACACCTTACTTAGTGTGTTCGGCAAACAGTAATGATCGTTCTATGATTTTGCAATCAACAGTTTCAAACCCAACTTTCTCCTTGTCTTTTTGATGTGTTGGTCAGTTTGGTGACAAAACTCATCTGGCAGCAAACCTGACCTTCACTGACCTAAGGCGTCCAGTTTTTACTGTGATGTCCTACAAGACTCTCAAAGGTTCTTAAGCAGAGCTTGGAAGGTGATGGATGATGTGGCTCACAGTTTGCGGTGGGAGGGAGGGGCCTGTTGGAAGGGGCGGGGCCTGCAAGGGTTTCTCTCCCGCCAGGTTCCTTCCCTCTCTGCTTCCAGTCCACGGTGTTCCGCCACACTTTCTGCAACGGTACCCTGCCTTGGTGTCAGCCAACTAGGAACTAAAACCTCTACAAACTATATCAAAATAAACTCCTCTTTTAAACTGTGGGTGCCAAGGTATTTTGTCCCAACCACAAAGGATGTAACTAAGACATAAGGCTGTTATGCTCTTTCTGGTATTCTAGATAGAGTATTCACATTGTCTGACAAAAATAATACTGTATTTGAATTATGGGATGCTGCCCCATACCCCAGAGAAAATGCCATTCACACATGAATATGCCCTGAATTATCTCTCTAAACTCTGAACAGTTTTGTCTTTTAAAATGCATTGCTGCCAGGCGTAGTAAAACCTCCCTGTAATCCCAGCATGTGAGAGGCTGAGGCAGCAGGATCACAAGTTGGAAGACAGCCTGGGCTACAGTGAGTTTAAGGCCCGTCTGCACTACATCGTGAAACCCTGTCCTCCAGCCTCCACTTGGCCCACAGCCCTGAGCTAAGAGCAACTCTGGTGCAGTGTCTGACTCTGGTGGGAAAGAGTGGCCAACCAGGCACCCGCCTAGCCAGAAGTGAGACCTGCTCCGGCCCAGACCCAGACCCGTGGGCATTAACACCCTGGACAACTAACAGTCCATGTCCTAAGCACAGAGGCAGCTCTTGCCCTTTTTGGTTTTCCTATCCATGTTGATTTGCTGTCTTAATTGTTTTTGCGTTAGAACTCTATCAAAGTCAATCGGAGTCCTGCGCACGAGCACCCCCTGCAAATACTGCTGAATGCATATGGGATAAGTATCTTTTCATTCATTAACACACTAGTTCTCTCCAGCCTCTGTATCTACCAGGAAGGCCGCCTGCTTTCCGCACATTTACGCTTTATGGAGTAATATAACTGTTTTGATTCCACAAGGTCCTTTCTAGAGTTTATCTTTCATTGACTCTAAAAGATGTTGAGGTCCTTAGACATATCCTCAGTGCAGCGTATTCCTTCAAATTAGGCTGGAGGAATTTTCTAGAAGTTTCTACAACTTTCTAGAAGAGTTCACATAACTTTTTTCTAGAAGAAGTCATAGAACTTTCTATAAGAGTTCATAAATCCTGAGCAAGGCCTGGCAGCACATACCGGTAATCCCGTTACTGGGGAGGCTGAGGCAGGAAGCATGCTGTGCGTTCGAAGCCAGAGTAGGCTACACAGTGAGACAATGCCTCAAAACAAAGCAGAAATATTCACAGCGTCCTGAAACTGGCAGCGTGGGTACAGAACAGCATTTAGGTCAGAAGTCCGCGTTCTTTTTCCTCAGCTCAATCCACACAGCCAGCGGCCTGGGGTCTGTCCTCCTGCCACCGGGGAAGCACTGGAACCCAAATCTCCCTATCCAGGTCTCCCCCTGGCGCCCCTAAGAGTTCCAGGCACTGCAGCAGGTGCAGCAGGCAGCCTGGGGATTGGGATGGGATGGGCAGGAGAAGGGCGAGGGGCGGGGACGCGGACTGGGCGCTCACTTACCTTCTCTGTGCCGGGGACGCGCGGGCCCGGGGATGTGGGTGCCGACTTCCGCGTGGCGGCGCCGCAGGGCCCGTGCTGGCGTGGGCGTGGGCGCGGGCGCGGGTGCGGGGGGGCGCAGGCGGCTCCTCGCGGGGGCGGTGCAGCGGCACGGACGCGCGCACTGCGGACACCACGTGGCCGGACACGGCCAAGCCGCGCGCGGGGGAGCTGGGCAGGCACGGGCGCGTTTGCTCTTTGACGCCGCCGCTGCAGCTGCGCGAGCAGGCGGACCAGGGCCCCCAGGAGCCCCACACTCCAGGGGCGCCACCGCTGCCGTCCGCGGGGCCGCTTTCTGCCATCCGCTGCGGGACCTGCGGAGACAGAGACCAGTCAGGAGAGCAGGACCCTCTCCTTGGCGGGACGTGGAGCAGGCAGAGGGGCCCGGGCACTGCTAGAATCAGAAGTAGCAGGAACACGCATGTCATCCCAACATTTAGGAGATTGAGGCAGGAGGATCACTGCCAGTTCCAGGCTAATCTGGCCTATATAGTGAGTCCAAAGCCTTAACTACATAGTGAGGCCTTGTCTCAAAAAATAAAAAAGCAAAAGAACAAAGTGACTATAATCCGGCCAGGATTAGAGCCATCTTTACACCAGCCTGGTCATAAAATAGAATTTTCATCTATATCTGTTTCTGTAGGCACCTATGAAGGGGCCCACAAAGCCAGGAGAGCCTAGGACCCAGAAAAGTCCCCGTGTAACCCTGACCTTTGGGTGCCAGGCACTGAAGACAGGAGTCCCTTTTATCCTCCAACTCAGGCGAGAGAGGTCCAGGAAGGTGAGCCCTATATCCCTCTGGGTCATAGCAGTGACACCACAGTGTACAGCCAGGCCGCCTTTGGCCACTCTGCCACCACTTGTAGCAGTGCTCCTGGGAAGTTTCAGAGCCTCTCTGAAGCCACTGTGTTGAATGGAGCAAAGCCCTGGTACCCACTTTTCCGCGGGCAGTGCAAGTCTTAGCAGACAGCTATGGAATCAGGGGCAATGGGAAATGTCATGAATTTACAGGTTCTATCCAGAGACTCATTCATTTAACCCGCCTTTCCACAGAGACCCACAAACCTGTGCTGTGGTCCTCTTGGGACGCAGACATGCCCAGCACCAGCTGTATGCCTGGTACTGAGTTAGGTGCAGAGGACAAAGACAGACACCCAGGTACAGACAAATGTACAGCAGAGCCACCTAAGGAGGGCCTGCTTGGAGGAATGGACAAGCCTCAGAGGGGGAGGGATCTGCACTCACTGTCCTCACTGTCATTCAATGGCAGATTAAGAATAACCCAGGTGTCCTCATGACAGTCCTGGTCACTGTCAATCCTGTGCTATGGAAGGTGATCCTGTCCAGACACTTTGCCATGGCAAGATGTGCACCCAAATGCACATCTCCTGCATGTCTCCTGCCCCAAATGCCTGCACATCTGGTCCCTTTGCTCTTATCTCAGAAGACAGCTGCTCCCACCCGTTACAGAGCCTCTCTCTCTCCCAGGCTCCATCCCTTCCTGGGAGCCCGAGCAGTTCCGTGACTTTCCTTGCAATGTGTGTTTTCCCACCATACCATGGACTTAGAGCTACATTGCAAAAGTGACCCTAGATCATCTTCATTTTTTTTTTTTTTGAATGTTGGTTTTGGGCAGTTCTGTGTAACCCAAGAGCTCTGAGACCTTGGTGCCACCTTCTCTCAAAGTCACTCCAGTGCCCACAGTGGGCCTTTATCGCTTCAACTGGGTTTAGGGAATGATCAGAGCAGGAGGATAAGCCAGGCCAAAGCAAGCAAGCATCCACTGGAGGGATAAGGGCCACCCTGTGCTAAGTGGATGGCAGTCTACCATCAGACAGCCAGGCTAAGGGCGCTCCATTCAGAGAGAGGCAAAGCAAGGTACAGTGACATGGGTGGGCCCAGCTGGAAATGGGCAGAGCAAGCACGAGAAACATGTGAGTGCTGCTGATCAGTACCTGAGGCTGCCTTTCTGATCTCAGCCAGACCATGTGCACTTACTCTGGGAAACAGGTGTAGCTCCTGCTTCTAAAAATAAGACAAAATAGGATATGGTGGTGCACACCCGAAATCCCAGCATTTGGGAGACTGAGACAGGAGGATCGCTGCCAATTTGAGGCCAGCGTGGGCTACACAATGTTTGTGCTTTCTTCTTCCACTGACCTATCTTGATTTATTAATACTAAAGTCATGGTGGGTGGCTGGGGAAAAAAAGTCTTGATCTATAAAGTCTATACCTGAGTGTGTTGAGTGAGTTGCATGGTGGTGGCCCTCTGTAAAGTTCTTTCCTTGGGTCAACTCCCAGAACTTGTGAGTCTGACCATATTTGGCAAAAGTCCTTGAAATTGTAGTTAAGGATCTTGAGATGAGGTCACCCTAAATTATACAGTGCTCCCTATATCCTTTTTACTGTCTTTGTTTTTGTCGTCATTGTTTGAGACTGGGTCTCTATGTATTCTAGGCTGGCCTTCAACTCACTGTGTAGCCCAGGCTGGCCTCAAACTTGTGGTGATCGTCCTGCTTCCACCTCTGCAAGCTGGGGTTAGAGGCATGCATCTCCATGCCCAGCTCTAAATCTTTATAAACCTGTAAGACATTGACATGGAGAAGAAGGTGGTTTGACCACCATACCAGAGACTGTGATGCCACATGTACCCCTGAGCTGAGGAATGTCTGGGCCACCAGAAGCTGAAAGAGGTGGGAAAGAATCCTCCCCCAGGAATTTTGGAAAGAACCCGGGTTTGAACATGTGGCCTCCCAAACTGCACAAGGAATGCATTTCTAAAACCATTTAGTTGGCAGTAGTTTGCTAAAATAATAGAGCATGTTGGGCCTTTGGGGCAAGGGAGGAAAGGGACTGGCACTGGAAAGGCCACATCAGGTTCCGTGTCAGGCACTGCGTAGACGGCACCTGTGCTTACAAACCAGCCGAATGGCTGAGGCAGCCCTGGTACCAGGTCACACTTTCGACAGCCCCTTGAGGCCCTCCCGGCCACCCTGGCAGACTGCTGGCATTTTGTTCCTTTTTAGAACAGAAACTGAGGCCTCATGAGCTGCAACTTGTTGTGATTTCAGGCAAGTGCAAAGCATAGACTCAACTAAAACTGAGCTCTTTACCCCGATCATGTAGGGTTATTTTATACTGTTGTTTTGTTTTGTTTTGTTTTTGAATGTCACATCCCTGCCTGTGCTATTGGTGGAAAACTGCAGGGTGAAAACAAGTAGGAATAAACCCCCTTCAATAGTTGTTCGGGTGGAAGGATAATTGAGAAACATGAAGAAAGGTGGAAATATGTTTCTGGCACATTTGAGGGATTCAAGTTATCCTCTACCTCCTGATCTCTCGGTAACAGAGATAACTCAGACACCGTCTGTAATATTTGGATTAGACATGCTGCTCTACTAAAAATCCCACTTCCTAGAACTAAGCCCACCCCTAATTTAGTTTCCTATTGCCAACTTGAGCAGGGTCCCTGGGGAAAGAGAACATGAAACCACATTCCATCCTATTCTATTCATAAGAATTCTCTAATTTATAGTTCATTTATGGTGAGTGATTTGAAATTCCAACACAGTCCCCATGCTAGGAATCCAACCGCAGACTCCAGAACAGTATTTTTATAGTACATAGCCAGAAACAAAGGGGGGAAAAGGCAGCAAAACAGGAAGGAAAGAAGAAAGGAAGGAGGAATGGAAAATAGGAAGAGAGAAAGAATGAATCAGAGGAAAAGCAAAGGGAGGAAGATTGGAACATTAACTTTCTGGTTGTAGCTACCTGAAGTCCTCCTAATAACTACTTCTCTCCTTTTGGCCCACCTTTTCTGCAAGGCAAGATCCAGGTAGGATCTTGCACCTTATCAGTATTTTGTGATAATAAATTCCTAAAATGAAGCCTGACTAACAGGATCTCTCTTAGCCCATGACAAACACAGGTGCAAAGAATAAATCCTGAGACACATGACTGCAATTTAAGCCTTGTAAGCTGTCCACATACTGTCCATCCTGGAGCCACACATGACATGTACAGACTGAAGCAGAAACTCAAAGTGTTTCCAAAATGCATCCTAGACTGCTGGTTTTCTTCTTTTACAAAATATCTCATAAATCAGTAAGTAAAGGAAAACTCAGGAGAGCTAGGAAGAAGTGTGTGTTATAGATTGAATGGGTGTATCCCTCCCAAATTCCAATATTGAAGCCTTAACATTCAGGATCACGGTATTTGTAGGTGGGGCCTTTGCGGGTAGTGGTGGTGGTGGTGGTGGTATGAGATTTAGATGGAGTTGTGAGGATTGCACACCAATTAAGGGGTCAGTGTCCTAAGAAAAGGAAGAGAAACCAGATTCTCCTACCCTTCCCCTCCGCTTCTGTGCCCCTCCCCCCCTCTCTTTCCCTCTCTCTGCCTCTCTTCCCCAACCATCCCCATCATCACCATATAAGGACATAAGAAGGAAACAACCCTCTAAAAGCCAGGAGAGAGTCTTCATCAAGGAACCAAATCAGCTGGTACCTTGACATTGGGCTTCCTAGCCTCCAGTACTTTACAAAATAAATTCCTCCTGTTGAAGCCACCCTGTCTGAAATGTTTTGTTTCAGCAGCTGGAGAAGACTAATACATACAACAGGAAAACAAATAAAAATATGTGACAACTGTTTCACCTTACATATAATAAAATAAATACTAACTGGAACAACAAAATTCCATTTAAACCCATTATATTGACAAAGATGATCAAGTTTGACAACACTGATAGGGCAACAATGTTCTCTACTGATGGGGATCTAAATTGGGGCAACTTCTTTGGAGGAAACTTTGCCGTCCCTAACAAGACTTCAAATGGATGCGCCTTTTAGCTCAGCATCTGTACTTTTAGTAGTTCATCCTATAGATACATTCAAAACCATACTTGAAGTTTTATATGTAAAAATTTATATTGCATCATCATCTGTAAGAAGAACCACAAAGCCTGGAAACAACCTAAATGCCTGTGAATAGGAGCTTAGCTATTGAAATCTAATCTATCCACAGGATAGAATACAATCTGCCTGCCAAAAGGAGGCAGATTTATATCCATTAAAGTGCACAATCCCTATAATGTATTAATTAGTTAAAATAAGTAAGTAGTTGAAGAGAATGAGTCTACTTGTAGACATTGATTTTAAGCATTTGGTTGAAACAAAAAATAATGTTGACTTTTGATTTATAATTCATAATTACATATGACCTAATGTGAGCAGTTCTCTGTTCCTGGCATCCCAAAGAAGCCAACTAGAAAATCTTTTGCTATCCAACAGGAGGGGAATGGACTCAGCTTGAACC